TTACACAACTCACATTGTCATTATAGAGACTGTTAAAAGGCTCCGCTTCCCACGGTCATAAATTCAGCTTAGCACTTCCATAACGTCGCTTCATTACATCTCTCACTGTTCAGATGGAGCGCCGCTGCTCTCTGCTCTCTGTGTGATATCAGGAAATACAACATTGTTCCTAATGAGACTTTCAACCAAACAATGCACAGACTCCTGACCTTGAGAGCAATCGCACTGTTCATGAATGGACTGTTACCTTGACAACTCAGTCAAGGCAGTCATTTGAAGCCATCCCCTGCCATGTGAATGTAATCACAAACCTTAACTAAGTTTGGGGCCAGAGAGTCTTTTTAATCACATTAGCCACTTAGCAAACGGGATCAGAGCAACAAATCTTTGCTGGACAGCTCAAGGCCTTTTCAATCAAGTGGATTCATTTGATCCGCTGATCAGTTTAATGTTACCTTGTAAGTTTGCAGGCAGGAATGTGGCCTGCCTCCAGGAGATGATTGTCACTGTGGAATAATCACACAGGCCAGCTGTGAGCATCGAGCATGCAACAAGCTGCAATTTGCATGTTAGGAAAAAATATCTTGCTAAGTGTATGCTGGACAAGCTGTTACAGTGTTCATTCTGAGTCTTGATTACACAGTGGGAGCAGTGGTTAGCACATGTCTGAAAGGAGGAGGAATATGAAAAGATCTAAAGAAAGATTTCTGAGGTCTGCGGTGGATGCAGGACAAAAAAAAAAAAAAAATGAAAACAAAACAAAAACAAAAAAACAGCGGGGTAATAATTCTCCTGTAGTGTTGTTGACTCAGTGAGACCTGCTGCCTGCTTCAGAATTAGACCTGACACAAGAGTACTGCGAGAAACACATTTCTATTTTTATTATTATTAAGGCTATATGACTATATATAATGGTCATGTCCAAAGAATGACTCATTTTTATTGATATTGCCTTTTAAACACTACTTGATAGCCCTTTAGCTGTATCTTAGCAAAGTTGCTGTATCTTTAAGCTAATCTTTAGTAAGTGATAATTTAAGGAAAAACAATGTCTGAGATATTAGTTATCTTTTGGCCTAATGTTGATGTGTTAGGTTTTAGTTTCAACATCAACCCTCCTGGGTTGTTCCAAGTGTTTTCAAACTCTCATTTAGCTTATTATCAGCTAACATGGAGTATATAGAATATAGTATATAGAGTAAGTTTTATATTTTGTAGTTTACGTTAGCTGTCCTTGGATGGTTTTAACTGTTGGCGGTACAGTTTGGCTAAGAATTGGTGCTTTAGACATTTTAGTGTAACCTTTAGCCATCTCTTGGCTATTTTATATAGTTTATTTCATCTAACGTTTTAGTTTTGCAGTTTATTTATTTTATTTTATTTTATTTTTTGCAGTTTGCGTAATTTCAGCGCTGACTTGGTTTATCTATCTTATTGGTCTAACTCGCTAATTTAAGATGCATGCACAATGCTACAGTATGTCATAATTAGTTGGTTAGCATTACATGGAGATACTAGAGTGTACAAAAAATGTTACGAACCAAAAATTTGGTTAGATACTTTTATTTTAGTTTACATCAACGCGAGCCCTCTGAATGGCTTGCTTTACTTGTATCCAAGTTAGCATGATTCGACTGGTGTTTTACAGGTCAAATAGTGTTGTGACCCAGACACAGCCGTCAGTTACCTTATAGTACATATTAATAACACGCAACCGCAGGAAGTCTGCTACGCAGCGAAGCACATGCAAAGCATGTGAACTGTTATTAATGTTATTTTTATCCATGATAATCCGCTGAGAGTGGAGAATTTTAGACAAGTTGTTGGCTCCGTGTCCTCTTTGAAGAAACCTGCCAAATGGTCCTGTTTTTGTTTTGAGGCGCTGTCTGCGTGTTCCCTCTTTGATAGAGGCTCTAATCCTGTTTTCATTGATTAGTCTCTGATGACTCATCCTGATAATACAGTGCAGGCAATTCATCATTCCACCGCACACTGTGGGCCCTTTGTTGCTGGGAATGTGGCTGCGTGTGTGTATGTGTGAGTTGTGTTTGAATGTGCGTGCGTGCATGTGTGTGAAATTCTGCCCCCTGATGACGACCCTGTAATCCACGTCGTGTGTGTTTGTTTGTATGTTGGAGTGCATCTCCATACGAACAGTATACGTGCCAGTGTGTTTTCTGCTTCACTAACAGGAAAGTACGGCTGTGTGATACAGACAAATACCCAAGTCATTTGGAATTCACATTAATGAGCCAGAGCCGTGTGATATCGTTGATCTTTGTCTCATTTTCCACCTGCAAATCCTTGATATCAAACCCTGGCGGGGTGATTTAGTTTTGCACAGGAACACACGTAAAGTAGGACAACGACTATCTACATTTGAACAATGTGACCCCCACGGCAACTTTTCTGATGAAGAAGCATTGTGTTTTTTTTAGCCATGGCTTTCTGTGGATTATACATAAATTACTACGAAGTTCAAAGGGGCAGAAGTGAGGACAATCCCTGCACTGTCAAGAATTAGAGCCACCTTAGCAAATAGGCCAGTGTGTAATGCCTAGGGTGGGAGTTTCACTGAGGCTGGGGTTTCCGTGTAAATAAACAGTGTGGGGGTCTCAGTGGGTGGAGAGCCCCCTCCTCCTGGGGTTTGGGCCTAGCCTTTTGTTGCCTTTAATCCAAGCATTTTCTATTGAAAAGCTAAGAGGGGATGGGGGGGGGGAGGGGTCTGGCTGAGATTAGCCCAGCAGCTCTTGTGAGTGCTTGAGTTTTCTCACAGACTGCCATTCCGTACTCTTGGAAATAACACAGTTATCCCACATCCTCATGGTGGATGACACGAATGACAAGTAAGGCGACTACTGGGCAATCTCAGAGCTTAGCATGACAAAATGTCCTTAGCAGTCGCAAACAGCAACACTCAGTGTGAGACACGGTTGATTTATCCAAGGAGAAAGCGCGCACAACAAAGAAAAAGGTCACACAAACAAATATACGGAGCAGAAAATTAAAAGACAAAAAGCAAGACACAAATAGATGAATAATGCAAAATAAAAAAAAAATCATAAGAAACGCTGGATATATCCTCTGTTTTGAATTTCTATGTTTTTACGTTGTTATTACATTTTTATTCCAAGGCTGCACATGTAAACAAAGTGGGCTATAGTATTATAAATGATAGGACCTGGATTATGATGAAGTAAAATGGATAGGATTTAGTGATATATAATGATCAAGTAATACAGATTGAATACCCTTCACTTTACTATTCCTGGTCATGTAGGGGGAAATGCATTGATTCTGGGCTGTGTAACAGCTCAGAGAGAGAAGATCTCCAGATGAAGAAGTCCCAGTGTCCCAAAATATGAATTGTTAAAGGCATGTGTATTTGAGTGGACGGTATACACATACAATGCACACATTGGCCACACATGAGTATCGGCTGATTTTATTCCCCCGTTGTCTACAATCGGCCTACTACTCAATGAGACACGAAACAATGGCGGTGGCTGATATGCGGGGGTCACCTGATCAGACTCAGATGTTCCTGTTGGGCCAAAGTTCAACATATTTTTTACTGCTTTGATACATTCTCTACAAAGGAAGGGTTCCAGTTGTTCTAAATATTGTGTGTACCTATTATCGACAACACACATTTGACCAGGATGTTCAAGTTATAAGGCAGAGTACCAGTTCAAGAGGAGACCAAATTTGTTATTGGCCACAAATGTTGCCACTTTATTTCCTCTGAGAATACAGAGCATGTGTTATGTCTCTGAGCATGGGTTTTGGCAATCTTGTACCAATCTATGTATTTCTCATTACGAGCTAATACGACGGAATATAATGCACGATACATCAAGAGACCAAATGCAACTTGATGGCTCTTAAATGCATCATTTCTGTCATAACAGTTGTTACTTTTATTCCATGCCTTCAAAACACAAGGTAAACAAATCGTTTTTGTGTCCATAGTAAAGATAATGTATTACATTTCTGTTTACTATTACTAAGTGTTGGGTTGTATAAGCTAAGGTGTCATTCAGACAGCATAGCACCAGTGCTAGCTCGGTGTGTGCTATATCAAAACAGGTCGACAGGTAGAGACAGGATTGTCGACTGTCTAACGCTCTCGGGCCCATATGTAAAGGGAAACTACAGGTTGTAATGTTACAACTGTTTGCATGCTTCCTTTCTTCCTTTGTTTAATGTACGCTCTCATTACCACGTGGTGGTAACAGATTGTTTGAACTGGAGAGAAATGCCATTCGGAGCTAATTAAGCAGCCATTCCCGGCTCTATTCACCAGCAGAGGAGCGAGGAGCACAGGCATTTGTCAGCGCTCTGAGCCCGCGTGGTATTGATTGACAACGCTGCTCGGGGAATGACAGGCCTGCAGCTTGTCCACCAATAGAAACCCGAGAAGTAAGTGCACTCTATTGCTATTGGTCGACAGGCCTTGAAGCCGCAGAGGAGCCCCACGTGGGGCAGAGATGAAGCTTGAAAACAAGGCGGAGCTGCAGGAGCAGCAGCAGCAGCAGCAGCAGCTCAGACATGGCTGATGTTCATATCAGACAAAGGCAATCACCTCCTCTCTCCCCGCAGTGAAACTATCAGACAGACGTTGATAGGGAAGACGTGTTGTGCAAGAATCACGAGAGAGGAAAAAAAACATATATGTGGAGGTCATACAGTTTTCAACGTGAATCGATTGGTTGTTATGGTGTCCTTCATGGTGTCTGTGGTGTGTGCGCTCCGGGGATAGATAGACTTAGAAATTTGAATTTACTTCAAATAATTCACAATTTCACACATTTTATGACTACGTTTGGTGCAAACAGCCAGGTTTCTCCTCGTGCTCTGATGCACAGTGAAAAAAACACGTATTGAAGAACACATCCCACCCTCCCGACAGTGGTGGTCTTATCAAAAAAAATAAAATAAATCATCAACTTTATCTAAAAAAACATCACACTAATGAGGCGGGGATATGGAATTAGAGCTGTCTGTGTCAAACGTGGATCTCAGCCTCGGCTCATCAACGTCTGCGGCTGCTGCTGTTATTGTACGATGATGAGGAGGATGATGATGAGGAGGATGAGGTTGATGCCTGGTGTCGGTGGTGGATGCATAGGATGATGTCATGCAACTTTGCAACCCCACGTGGGGGCCGTCGCTCTCCGATAGGCAGATGTGACCGTGTTCCTGCCCAGTAATCCGATTGGACAGATAGACGCTTTCACGGCAGTTCAGCTCTGCTGCTGCTGCCTGTGTGTGGCAACCGGGGTAAAGCTGGACAAGCGGGGAGAAACGCGAGATTGTGGAGAGAGAGGGAGCACCGTGTTTCGCTTTTAAAGAATCTCCATCATACTCGAATCGGAAGGCAGATTTTGGAGGCATACGTTTGGTTGTATTTTTTTCCCACCCCTTTCTTTGTGGATTTTACCAGCTTCGCGAAGACGCGCATTCATCTCGGAGGTTGTGAAGAAAGTAGTTTGATCAAGCTCGACCGCACCACAAATCTCTCTCAAGCGCTCCACAGTCTGGCTGTGTGCGCTCGGGGCTGAAGGAGAGGGGAACAACGAACGCAAGAGAAGGAAAGGGATGTTTGTGGAGATCTACGCGTCGACGCGGAAGGATTAAATGCTCGTATTAAAGTCGGTTCTGCTTTCCTGTCTCCGTGAACCGAAGTCGGACGGACGGCTAGGTCGCACGGGTACGTATGTGATACAACGGAGCCGTTGAACCTCATCCCCGTCTCTATCTGTCGGTGGTTTTTGTTGTGGTGCGGGTCGGACGCACGATTTTTACGCATAAACCATCTCCCTCCGTCTTCGCTTTTACGCGCAGTCAAACAGGAGGTGCGAGCCAGCTGCTGTCGACTCTCGCCCGTCTGTAGAGACGTCCTGTGGAGCGGGGGGTTGTTTTGGTCATTTGACCGACATTAGTCAATAGCAGAGTCGCAACAGTGCAAACATTCTCAGTTTTGCACGGCGGTAAAGTGAGCCTTTCCAGGGTTGGCATGCGCGCATGAAATGTTGCAACTATTTGTGTGAGAAAATTGTAAAAAAATGTACGTGAATGTGCGCTCAGAATTAGTCGATAGCCTCTGACCGAATAAGGTCAACAACAACACAGCAAAACGCTATTTTCCTCGCTCTGTTTTTTTTTTAATCACTCTAAACGTGGGGTGGTTTTGGTGCGCAGGCTGCTTTACAACTGTGATGTGTTTTTCCTTTCTCTATCTGTAGATTAAACGGCGTCGTTTTCACGACCTCCACTCCTCCCCCCTCGCCCTCTGTGTGAGCTGAGGCTGGTGTGGCTCTGAGCACGTCTGAGCCGTCTTACCAGAGGAGCTGCACACTGGAGACATAAACAAAGGATACTTCTGTACAAGATGTATCCACAAGGCCGACATCCGGTAAGAAGCGTTTCCTCTAGACCTACTGAAGCTCACATAATATATCTGTGTGACCAGACTGGTGATGAAACGCTTTCTGACTGGGCTGATGATTCTCCCTTGGATCTCCTTCAGCAGAGCTTTTTTTTTTCCACATTCTCATTCTGATATGGCCCACATTGTTGGAATGTGTTTTTGGTTGTACTGTTTCATGCTACATCAGAACATACACTTAGTGGTGAATGAATGCAGATGGGTTTTCATGCCTGGAGTTATTTACCATGCACAAGCAAATGGCTCTGCCAAATATGAAGACAGGTGGTGATTTTTTATAGTGAATTTCATTGTGACTGTGAGAGCCCTTTAGATGTTGCATTATTAGCCTCTGGAGGTGTTAAGCAGACCCACTGTCAAAGTGTGGTAATGTCTTACTAGCTGCAGGGGAGATCTGATCTTACAAGTAGTCTGATGTGTGACTCATTAAGCTCCATTTGGTATCACAGGAAATTGTGAACAAATCCTTGGATTGTTAGTGGCCTGGTGTGAATTAGTTTTTTCTTCTTCTTCTGATTTCAACAACCTTCTTTCAGCCTCCTCATCAGCCCGGCCAGCCCGGCTTCAAATTTACGGTTGCAGAGTCGTGCGACAGGATTAAAGACGAATTTCAGTTCCTGCAAGCCCAGTATCACAGGTAATAAAACACACAACATCAACAATGACATCAACAATGACAAAGAGTCGGCAATTAATCTGATGAATAATAAAACAAACAGTTAACCGTCGACCTCGGATGTGTGAATGAAGAGGTGTTTTTTTGTTGTTGTTTTTTTTTCTTCCTGTTGTCACGAGGTAAAGTGTATAATTGAAGTGATAGACAAGCCTGAAGCTGACGCCTTGTCTTCTCTTCTAGCCTTAAGGTGGAGTACGACAAGCTGGCCAACGAAAAGACAGAGATGCAACGCCACTATGTCATGGTAAGATTATGTTTCAATAGGGAGCAATTATGGCTCCAAATTGCAAGGCTGGTTTAAGATCTAGTCAGGGTGGAGTGAGACAGGCTATTGTGATCACCTGTGTGGTGGTTAAGGCGGGCTGAGTGTCTCGCACAGACTTGTGAAAGGCCTCGGGGGGGGGGTTGATGTGGCTAGTTGTTGAGCTCTTCCTGACAGGCAGGCAGCAGTGGGCTGAGGCTCCATTATAGCGTGGCCCTGATCTCCAAGGGTCGACTGCGGGGTTGCCCTCTGTGTGTGCTGATCTGATTATTCTCCTAGGAGACATGCTCAGACATATGCACGGCCATAAATTAGGTGTGAGCTGATGGTGGACGGCCAGATCGCTGTGTGGGAAAAATGCGTCACCGCGAACAAAATGGAGGTCGGATGTGAAACATGCTGCAGGCCATGTTGGAAGAAGACGACCATGTGGTTTGACTGAAAAGAGTCAAAAAATATATTTAAAAATTAATCAGTGCTTAAGGAAAACATAGGCGTGCCTGTGATGCAGGAATTTGGTCGAGACGTGACGCAGAACGCTCTCCAGTGGCACTGTGCTCTGTTGTCCCAGGTAAACACACCGGGGATGACTTAAACCAATACACGCAGGCTTAAGTTAAACATTCTTTTCACAGGAAAACAACATGTCAGCCTGACAGGGAGGAGGTTAGGTAAACATGTAGGAAAGTATACCACAGCCAGCTCTAGGTGTCAGGTTACGCTACGGCTGTGGCGCTCTGATCTCAGACAGAATGGCTCTCTTGTTTGAGAGTAATTTTCGAAGAAGCTAATGGACTGAATAATGCATTGGCCTCATCAAATAGACGCTGACTGGAAAGCCATTTCTGCCCTGGCTGCCACTTGTGGGCTCCACGGATTACATTTCAGCCAGACAGACTGACCTGCCTCGAAATATCAAGTGTTGAGCAATCGTGTTACGCTAAGTAAACAGACATCCTGGAGATCTGAGAGCTTAAGAAGATGATCAATAAATCCGACCTTTTCTTTTCTGCGCCCACATTATAAACAACTGCATATTGATGTATTGAATATTTGCTGTCAGCCGTTCAAATATATAAAAAAAAAAAAATTCAAAATAATTCTGGAAGTACACTTAAGTATCACATTGATTCAAATTGGTTGGAAATTCATTGGCTTGAGTTCACTAATAAAACTCTGTTTTCATTTCCAGTATTACGAGATGTCATACGGGCTGAACATAGAGATGCACAAACAGGTGAGTACCTAAATGTTTTTCATATTTTTCAGCTCATTGATTGTACATGTACAGTGCATCAGGAGATGTGAGACCCAGGAGGAGCTGCTCCAACTGAACGGACTTTAGAAACAGGTGGATCGTGTGCAAACAACAGAGCGGTAACGCCGTTACTCCTGTAACTGCTGTGACATTTTTAAATTTGGCTTACTGTTTACAGACAGTCATTCGTCTGTGGTTGGTCTGTGACAGGATTCCAGGTAGACTTTGACAGGCTCAGCCTTTGACTCAGAATAATTAAAATGAGACGATTGTTAATGGTTGTGGGGTAAAAGTCCCTTCTGTCCAATATTGTGCTCCTGTCTTATCCTCTCAGATTGTTCACAGAGCAATCAAAGCAACGCTTGAAGAGATAAGGAATGTTATGAAAGAATAATCCTCAGGTGTTTTTTTTTTTAAACACGTGTCGTATCCTCTCCTGTGACAGCTATAGCTTGGTAACAACAGCACCGGGGGAGGAGGGGTGCATGGTGGACTGGTGATCCATTAGTGTCCAGGCCCCAGTGTCACACTACCACATGTCTGTCAGGGCTCTGGATGCAGTGATAGCTTCTGTCAGGCACTTATCGCCAACCAGAGGAAAAAGGTGGGGTATGGGAGCTGTGGAGGAGTCGGGGAATAGAACGGGGGGGTGGGGGGGGGAGCAACGGCCTAGGTCTGTGTAAACAGGTTAATCGACTGATCCATTTTAGCGCCTGACTTTTATCAGGAACCTCAACAGAGCTGAGGGAATCGCTTTCGGTGTGGCCCGAAGCTGCTGAACGCAGTGTTTGTGAGCAAACAGTGTGGGCCCCATCCATGCAGCTCCCCCATCTTATGCTAGGGAAGGAGGAGGAGGAGGAGGAGAGGAGGATGAGGGGGAAAAATATGGGGAGTGGTTAAGAGGCAGGGTTGGGATAGATTATTGAATCCACACAGGCGTATTATTTTCCTGCCAGGAGATTTATTCCTGACGGTGGAAATCTATTCCTCTCACTGTGCCCTTTTTCATTACTGTGCAGGGATGTAATTCAAATTTAGGAATGCAAACACAATCACAGCTCAGATGGACTGCTGTAGCACTGTTGTGTGATTCCTCTCTATCAGGCGTGACAGTATGTAGATACAAACAGTTACTTTCTGCTGCGTGATGTCAGTCAGTAATTACCGTCTTACATCTGCTGCTTGTTTCCATGAGCTGAACAGGGTTTGACAAACCAGGATGTAGCTGCGGCCCAGTCAGATCTGGCTGTTACCCGTATTTCCATGGTAATCTGATACATTTTTTTAATGTTTTATTTAGTATAGAATCTGTCATATCCAGGGTCAAAGGGTAAATAAATGTAGCCAGTGCATTATAGAACGTAGGTCTGTGGTGAAAACTGATTTACGGTGCGTCTGTCTCCTACATCCAGCATCCGTCATATTGGAAAAAAGTGTAGTTTAATTAGGGTTTATGAACTGTTGAATGTTTAATTCATCTGCGGAGTTATTCCTTGTGAAAGAATGATGTCAAAGCTTATGGTTTTACCTCGTATTTGTTGTTTTTCTCTTGGTTGGCCAACAGGACTACCTGATCTGATTGAGTGCAGCTGACACTGAGAATCACAGTAATGACTCGTGCAACCCTTTCAAGCAGGACTTTGGCCTGTGGGCGATCGTCACTGCTAACTTTAAATGCCAAAGGAATTATTGTGGAATTGGTTCACATTAAAAACAACAGCGAGGCTTTCAGCAACATCTGAGTTTAATAGAAACATGACTTAGTTTCTGGCTCAGACAACATGATAGTAGGGAACAGGTCTTGTTTTCATCCTGCTAGGAAAAATAGGGAAACGGATGATGTTGTCATCCAGTCAAGTATTGTTTATGCATGGATCATGTGACCACAGCCACCAGTTGTTTTCTCCCTGTATTTATTACTCATCAGTGTCTGTGCTCTGGGTTTTTTGCACTGCTGATAGCAACGGGCAAATACCTTTCTGCACAACACTGACAAGCCAGCCGGAGAGTGCTCTTAAAGTGGTGCTACACAGGTCCAAGTACCTGTAATTGTGTAGCAGCAGCACAAAGCTGGCCTCTCAAGGGCCAAGCTGTCATCTACTTAAAGTGGCAACAGCCCCATTTTTATCTGCCAGTGGAACAAAAAAAAAACTCCTCCCCACACTGCACTATATCTATTTTGACAGCGGTGGTGAGCTGACTTGATGCTTTTTCCGTGTATTTACATGCTGTGCCGTGCGACATGGAGGGCTGCTGGTCGTTTGGGGCACGGCGGAGCAGCCACCTTCTGACCTTTCTTAGCCAGCTGTCACCAGGACACTAAGCTATGGAGGAATGGTCTGGTCACTCAAACCCTTTTCACAAATCCTGTCAAATGTTGGGCAGCTATTGGCATGGCTTATCTCGACAAACATGGATTATACAGCCTATGTGGCTTTTCAAGCAATTTCTGAAGGTCTTCTTGAGCCTTTGCTGGAGCACTTATCGCACTGCATTAATCCTAATGCCCATAAAACCTCTATCTAACCCTTCCATTGCTTCATTGGTCAACGGTCACATTTATTGTGTATCAGCGGGGAGCAGAGTTCATTCAGGTCTTCCTCGTCGACAGATCACAGTTAATTTGCAGTCAGCCTTAGCTATAACTTAGCGCTGAGCAACAACTGAAATTTGTAATCCCCGTTATTCTCACGATTTTCTGCGATTAATCTTACGGTTAAAACACACACTTTTAAAAATGATTTCAAAGTAGCCGCTAGCATTAGCAGATGCTAAGATGGTTCTAATAATTCCTCTGTTTATATTTAAAATGAAAACATTTTTATGAGGCCGGTGTCTTTCTCCAATACTGCAGTAGTTTGTCCGAATGAGTATTCAGGGCATGGAAAGAAATGCATTAATGCACTACATCTACGACACAGTTGTTTTCCACTGATCACCAGCTCTTTTTTACCATATCATATGTCATCTTTAGCCTGATGCTAGTCCTCCTGGCCTGTGCAGACTAAGTGGCCATCACAGTTGCAGCCTGGGTCAGTAGGTCTTGTTCTGGACGACACTATTCACCAATCTCTCACTGGCTCTGCTCAGAGGTAATATGTCTGGTTGCCAAAAATCGGCTGCCATTCCTGCCAGGTGAAATGAATAGATGGCAGTCTGCAAAGTACATTGTGTCTGCTGCTCCGAATGAAAAATCGGAGAAAATCCCTGTAATGTGTTTGTGTTCTGCAGTGGCCCTGGGTTGAACTGCAGCTCATAAATTCCACAGATGATGCAGCTCTGGCACTGCTGTTTTTCTGCTAGTCTGAGCATGACCCTCGGCGTCTTCTTCACCCAACCTTTGGGGGGGCAGGGGGGAGCAGGAAGCAGGGTGATCTGGCCGTGTCTTTACAGAAAATGGGGCTCTGGATCGCTTTCCCCTCAACGCACCTCTTCCCATTGCTCGTTTTATTCACCCGTCCTTTGCTACTTTCATGTGATCGACAGGCTGAAAATTCAATTTAATGACCTGCCTCCAAGCAAGTAATATGATTTTAAAGCCTGTTACGGTCAAGCTGCCATTTGCATAATGATCCCAGCAAGATAGGGCTGCAGTCGTTGCCATGGTAGTTGGGTAGACGAGCTCAAGAATGGAGGCAGGGTTCTAGAGATGGATGGGTGATTGCTGTGAGAAATGGCCTGGCCTTCAGTCTAGTACAGCAGCAGCTCGAGAACTGCACTCATAACATTTACGGGCCTTGTTGGAGTCTGCTAATGGTATTGATCACGGAGGTGGTGCTACCCTGCAGGTCATTATGGTTTTCCTCATCTTTGCTCAATCTGCAGTTATGACCCCTAATGTAAACCAATGCCGTCGCCCTCACGTGTAAGTAAACAGTGCTGTCTGGTTAGCTGGCTAGCCTCACTTCCTGGGGTGTGGTTGTGTGGTTTAACTCCGAGGTTAACTGCAGGACAGCACAGTTACAGATGAGGTTGACGGAGGGCAGGGTGAGAGAGAGGATCCTCTCAACGCAGCAGCACTTTGCCTGCTCATATCCGTTAAGCATGGAGTGCACTCTCAGCACAGCTGTGCTCCATCCCCCTGGGCTCTCCTAATGTTTTAAATATTTCAAATGTCAATATCACGCTGTTTAGAGGATGTTGAGTCAAGCAGTTCTGATTGCCGCAGCAATTGACTTAATCGGTGTAAACATTAGAGGCGGGGTTATGTGATGTCAACGTCTGCCTCGTATTTCACCGTCTCATTTTGCTCCTCTTTTGTTTTGCAGACGGAGATTGCCAAACGGCTAAATGCAATTTTAGCTCAAATTATGCCTTTCCTGTCACAAGAGGTGAGTTGTGATTGTGGCTCCCGAACAATGTCAGTGAATGTCACTGTGTTCTTCCTGTACTTCTGAAGACACCACTGCAAACGATTGCCGAGTTAAGCGGTCTGGTGTCATTTTATGCGGCTTTTTGCTGTCACTTTAAACTGCTACGGTGTGGTGAAAAATTGGGTGCGAAAGTCGACGATAAATGCGCTGGGATGAATGGCTGAGTAACGAGATGTGAGCTCCTGTCAATCATCTTTTGTAAATGTCTCCCCGCAGCACCAACAGCAGGTTGCTCAGGCAGTGGAGAGGGCCAAACAGGTGACTATGACCGAGCTGAATGCCATCATCGGGGTACGTGGACTTCCCAATCTGCCTCTCACAGTGTGTATTCACCTTTTTTATTCTTTTATTTTACCTTTTGATGATCTCACTGTAAAAAAAAAAATACTTAACCATGTTTTCTCCAGTACACCCCTATAACCGGTTAGAAAGCATCTCACTAAATCATATGTAAATATAAAGTGGATTTATTTTTTTTTCAGTTAAGCTCTGTACAGTTTTCCCAATTAATGCACAACAAGCATTGCTCCAAAGCTCTGGAGGCCGTTGTTCCTGCCTTACTCTCTGTGGCATCTTCACTGCCTTGTTGTGTGTTTATAAATGCGAGCCCGAGAGCTCTTGAGATCACCCTTCGCAGCACGTATCGCTCTAATTGGCTAAGGTTTTAACGAGGATCCTCATCCCTCACTGCTGACCTGGATAGCTGTGGGAATTAGAAGGCGAGTGTGAGCGGAACAGCCAGTGCTGAGCCAGTATAGACAGCAGTCACAGCTGTGCTGCACAGTTCTCTCTGCGCACAACAACAGCACTGAGCTCCAGTCGACACCGCTTTAAAAGTACCATCTGCTCCTCATTGATCAAGTGGCATTCACCCTGCCCTTTGAAAAGTGAAGTGATTGGTTTCAGTCTGAATACAAAACTTCAGCTATCAGTAAACATATAACCACAATGACTTTTTTTTTTTTTTCTCGCTGAGAGTTTAGCATGCATAAGAAGACAGCCAAGGAGCATGACTTCAGGCACAAACTGGAATTCAATAGGTGGTGCAGAGCCATTTGTTTTTATCTGCTGGATTTAAAACAGATGCTTTATTACACCCTTTACCAAAGCAGAGCAGCTGCAAGCAGCAGTTGTTCCCCAAGAAAAGCAAATGTGATTTGTGGCTTCTTCCTTTCCGTTAATTTGTGTTTACACATTTTAGAACAGTGTAACACAGGAATATTGCCGTAATCAAATATATTTCTTTTTAAATGGTGCGGCCCTGGAGGCCGATTTGTACGTTTACGGTTTCTGTCGGAGGCCCTTGTGTTGCAACTGACCCGAGCTGGTCCAACGTTCTCTGAAGTCCCGCCGATTGCTCATGTCAGAAGCGGTGGAAAAAGTAGCCGCAGCATGTTTTACCAGCACGCCGCCGTTCGTCTCGGGCTGAGGTAACGCTCTGTAGTCTTGCCAAAAATCCTCATGCATATTGTAAAGCAAGGTGAGGTGAAAGAGCATGCCAGACAGACAGACAGACAGACAGAACGACAGACCGACAGCTTCCAGGAGCCAGCTGCATGCCTTATTGATGGGCTTGAGGGCCATTAATAGGATGGAAGTAGGGCAGCTGGTGGCATGGAGATGAACCTGGCTGCTGGAGCTTCCTGTTTCCATTAAAACACACAGATCAACACACCATTCTCTCACCTGGAATTGTTTTAATGTCTAGAATTTTCACATGTAATACTTAATAGATGGAATTTAGTATAGCTACAACAACAAGCTTTTACTACTTTAATTTAGGGGGAAAAAAAATTAATCTTACTACCCTTGGTTTGAGCTCTCATTAAGGGTGGTTGTGCACACAGTTAAACTTTTTTCCTAAAACACAACTATGTGTGTGTGTGTGAAGTAAGTACACCAGAGACTACTAGTGGTTGTATGCTCATTTCTGCCCGTGTGTGTTTTTATGTTTGTAGCTGCTCTCACTCTGGAAGAATGAGGCAAAGAGGAGCTCTTTATCTTAAAATATTAAATTAGTGGAAATAGGCCAGACTCCTTTCTTTATTTATTATTGTCTTCATTTATGGCCCTCTAATGAGGACTCTTGCTGATCAGCCATGCATATTACACATCAGTGCCTCATTAAACACAATGAGCAAGGATTGCTCTCCCCTGCCAATGAACTGGCTCCTTAATTTCCCTCATGGACATAATATTAGAGCGCTCTCGCCTTTTCACTCTCCATTTTCTCTCACACCCCCGCAGCCGTGGGATCTTTTGTAATTGGACTGAGATACGTTCAATTGAGCACTGGACAAGGTTGCTGGCTAAAAAGTTCACCATTTTGAGATCGAGGGCTTGCTTTGCTAAGGGCGAATAAAATACCCGTCAAAGCTCTCTTGGACAAACGGAGATTTGAGCAAAGCGTAAAAGCCATGCTCCGTGTATCTCTTCTAATGAAAATGCCTTTTCCACAGGATTCAAATGTTGTCGTTTGTGATGTATTCCTGAAACTGCCGTAACTGACTGATATGGTCTCCCGTAAGACAGGAGGCACATGCTGTAACGGCAGCTGAATAATTCAGTCGGCTGGTAGACGATGTAATAAATTGCTGATGTTTTTATTGGTGTCTCAGCTAAGTATTATTTAACCTTGCTTTAAACTGCTTACTTCCATGCTGAGTGCCTTTTAACTCTCATCCATTTCCCCCCTGTCTTTCAAATATTGATGGTGAATATTGGAGGGTTGAGCAAATGCCAGAACAGGACCCCTGCTTCCTGGCTCCTAAGCAGCCTCCCACACACACACACACACACACTTAAATGGTTGGAATTAGAGAGAAAGGAGTGCCAGCTTCTAGCACTTAGCAGTCCCCCAGTCTCTTAAAGTTTGGGTGTGAAAAGGAGTCGTGTTCTAGTAATCTAATAGGGAGTAGTAAAAAAAAAAAAGCAGGTGTTTTTAAGACACATTTTCCCTGCACACAAATGCAAAATAATCCCTGTGTTTTCAGCTTGCGTTGCGGATTGTTGCGACCCCTGTGTCTCATGTGTTGGACGTGTTGAGCAGTTTATTATGAGCCGTAGCTTCTTCTCCTCAGCACAGTTCTGGGGCTAATGCCACCCTGGCCTGCTCTGGAAATAGCACCGAGGGGTACCACTGCGGGCTGCCGACAGTAATAGATGTGTGAATGTGCTAATATCATCCAGGGTTTAGCTGATCATCCTCATGTTTAGTGCGTGGTTTCACCTTGCCTTTTCCCGTTTGACCCACTCGGTGTCTGTCTGTCTGTCTCTTCTCTCCCGTTTGCTTGCAGCAACAGCAGCTCCAGGCTCAGCACCTCTCCCACGCTGCTCACGGGCCTCCCGTCCAGCTGCCCCCTCACCCTTCAGGCCTTCAGCCACCTGGCATCCCCCCAGTGACAGGGGCTGGATCAGGCTTGCTAGCACTGGGCGCCCTGGGCAGTCAAGCACACCTGCCAGTGAAGGATGAGAAGAATCATCACGATCTGGAGCACAGAGGTGAGGCCGTAAAACATACGGACGTCGGAGCTGCTTAACCACCGCGTTTAGAAAAGGACAGTGTTTTTATTCCGAGGCCATTAGATGCCATTAGATGGAAGTAGCCGTAGAACCGATTTAGTTTCAGCCGCTTCTCACTCTATAGAGCAGAATCCAAGGGCCCTTAGGTGAGCAGCACATCCTGTCTGTACATATTCCGTCTGGGTAATGAGCTGCTACATTCCCAGTCCATGGCTATATAAGCTACTCAACAGCTCCTAACACAGAGTGATAAGAGGGGGCCATGTGCCCTGCAGATGATTCTCTCACATTTAACCACAAGCATCTGTTATGATATGCTAACTGACTGCTGTTTCTCTTTGCTCCACTCGGGTTTCGTCATCGCCGCGACCTCCGTTGTTGTGTCTGCGTCACAGAGACCGCGGTAGGTGTATCTTTACTTTACTTTTTTTTTTTGTTTGTTTGTTAGTTTATTTAATCATTCCATGATGTCTTTCCAAGTGTTGAGCTGTGTTTCATTATTATTTGATCAGTGTTGCTTTAATCTTTTAAAAAAGAAAAATCATGCAATCAGAGCAAACCCTGAAAACGGACTAAACTTGATTAGAAACTATTGAACGTTTTGTTCTTGGAATGAAACGAACCTTTGAAACAAACAAAAAAACGTCCCCAGACAATGCAAAAAAAAAAAAAAAACAGATTGAAATTTTGTCTGTCTGTGACCACCAAGAATTCTACATAAAAGGAGTCATTTTTCAGAAAATAACTTTTATAAATGATGTATAAATTGATATTTTTAAATGATCCTAAAACCTTTTTGACTCATCCTCTTAGATGCTCTATCTGTACTGTACGTGATGAGTCACTTTGGGGTTCCAATAATTTAGCCTGAAACTGTGTTCTGCATATGTCTAATTCCTTGTGTGTGTGTTTTTTTGATATCTTCTTGGTTTAAAATTAATTAGAAATGAACAAAAACATTAACATCCTGTGTGTCCTAATCCAGAAGGCAAATGATTAGCCTCATGCTGCCGAGATTAACAGCTTTGTAATTTCATCAATTCTCAGAAATACCCAATCTTAGCTGCATTAAAGGATTTATTTGATCTCCTCTACTGTCCCCATTGTTTTCCATCTCGCCCATTCTCCGTCTTGGCATCTAGTGAATATTTATGAACAGAGATGGAGGATTGTCTTCCTGTCAGTGTCGCCAACCCGGCTGTTTGGAACTGCTAAAGCGTTTGATTTGAATGGCTGTGATCCCTGATGGCTTGTGATGGGCCTGTGAGATTGTGTTTCTGTGGGCTATAGGCTCGAGCTGAATGGGTGCAGTCATGTCTGAAGAAATGGAACTCCTGGGGTGATTAGCAGGCCTGTTTTGTTTCTGCGCTCTTGTCTCAGGTCATCTGATAGGAGAGTGGTGACTTTGGTTAATGAGTCACACTAAGCATCTCTTTAAAAGTCAGCCATTATGCAGACAGTGGCCCTTTGCCCAGACCGCTAGTCTATCGGCCATTGTTAGCTTCTCTGGGCTGCTGCTGACTTAGTCCCTGTTGTTGCTTTTGGTCTGTGGAAGAATGGCTGTAGAACAAAAAAAAGGGGACGGGCGGGGGGCAGGGTGGGTTGGGGACTTGGCCCGTTATTGCGAAATGGCAAACTGGTGAAAGTTTCTGGACACCTGCCCAAATCCTGCCATTCAGTTGGTGGCCAGAGTGAGTTGTCCCAGCTTGTGTGGGCAGGCAGTCTCCACGAAGGAGAAGAAGCAGTCAGTCCCATGGTGCTGTGCCCACTGGCAGGATAAAGATTCTCTTCTTTATCAGAGCTCAAAGCCTAAGCTGACATGGCTCCTAAGCACGCTGAAGCAATCGATGCCCAATACCCACAGCACACAGCCCCCCAACCCCCTCTCTCTCTCTCTCTCACCCTCTCTCCTTCATTCTCTCGCTCTCACTCCCTCTTTCTCTTTCTCTCCCTGTCTCCCCCTCTCTCTTTCTCTCTCATGCTCAGCCTGACTGACTCTGGAGAAAAGGCCCTCTGTTCAGCCACAACACACAGCTCATGTCCCTGTGAGGCTGTTTGTTGTCCATTTATGAGAAGGAAGGAGCCCGGCTCAGAAAACATGCACTCCTCCTTTCAGTGCAGATAACGGCCCATTCTGTTGTGTGACCGGGAACAGGCTTGTGTGTGAGATTGGGCTTGGCTGGTGTCAGGGTACTGTTTGAGCCAGGCTCTCAGCTGCATTTTAAGAGACTGTGTACAACCACAGTTCTGTAAATGAGGCATCTTAGGCCTTAGTGTGGCGAAGCCTTGACTTTTAAGTCTGTCTTTTTTCTTTTTTTTTTTACTGTTAATGACCATAAAAATGTGTTTTTCTCTCCCCAGAATAACTCAATATCACCATCAGAGAGCCTACGCACCGCCAGCGAGAAACACCGCAGCTCCTCCGACTACAGTTTGGACTCCAAGAAGCGAAAAGTTGAAGAGAAGGACAGCATGAGTAGATATGTGAGTTAAGAATTTTGTAAGGATTTTACGAAGGATTTTGACAAAAAACAAAAAAGGATAAAAATAACTTTGACCATTTCATTTCCAGGACAGCGATGGAGAGAAAAGTGATGACCTGGTAGTGGACGTGTCTAACGAGGTTAGTGCAGGGCTGAATACGAAATGACAACTAACTGCTGCGTAATATTTAAGTAAGTCAAAGTGGTTACAGATTTGAATCCACCGTGTTCCTCCAGGACCCCGCCACTCCCCGCGCTAGTCCAGCTCACTCTCCACCTGAGAACGGCATAGATAAACCTCGACCTCCAAAGAAGGACACTCCCAACAGCCCCGCATCGGTGGCATCTTCTGGAAGCACCCCGTCGTCCAAGGCCAAGGAGCTCAGTCATGTAAGACGGCAGCGAACGACACTGAACTAGGACAAAAAAAAAGGAGATTTAAAGAACCCAAAGAGCAAAGAGAGTGTTAAAAATGTAGGACATTTCTGCAGTGGATTAGGAGTGACTGTCATTGCTCTGAGTGCTCCACTGAACATCAGGGATAATATTTGTCCCACATCTGGACCAGTCTTATCTTCTGTTAATAGCTCAATATTTTTAACTATTCTTAATTTCTTTTTTTTTTTTTACTCCTCTGCATTAGTCAGAGATTAAAGCCACAGCAGTGAGGGGATAAAAGTGACCCCATCTCCATTGTGAGCGTAATAGGTTTTAGAATAAATAGCAGTTTGTGGCTCGGCTCGAATAAAAGTGTTGTCAGAATTAGAGTGGATTAACTTCAGTTTGCTGTCAAATTGTCTGCACAGTGCATGCTTTTGGAATTCAAAAATCGTATTGCTCTTTCGTACGCTCCACAGAATGACAAATCCTCCACGCCCGGCCTTAAATCCAACACTCCCACCCCCCGTAATGACGCTCCCACCCCAGGAACCAGCTCCACTCCCGGGCTCAGACCCATCCTGGGCAAACCACCTGGCATGGAGGCTCTCGGTTGGTACCACTTTGATCCCTAAAGTAATTTCACCCTAATCATCTTGATACTTCTTTCTTCAACATGTACTGTATATATTTTCTTCCTTTGTGTAGCTGCCCCTGCTCTGCGCACGCCTCTGTCGATCGCAGGCTCTTACCCCACGCCCTTTGCCATGATGGGCCATCATGAAATGAACGGGGGCCTGACGAGTCCTGGTGTGTACGCAGGCCTTCACATCTCCCCCCAGATGAGCGCGGCAGCAGCTGCAGCATATGGACGCTCCCCTATGGTAACGGCCAGATCACATCAGGGTTAATAGTGTGGATTACACAGTGAGGACCACTCACTCCGAGGTCTGTTGTCAACATCCTTATTTCTGTTCTTCCAGGGGTTTGATCCTCACACTCACATGAGAGCTCCAGGCCTTCCAGCCAGCCTCACGTCCATTTCTGGCGGCAAACCGTAAGTACCTCACTAAGACCTGGATCACGATCCGCGTCCGAACGGAACATATCCGCACGCACGTTTACTATCTAATCCTGGTGTTTGCTTAAAAAATGAAAACATACAGTCACGTGATGATGTGCACTAACCCAACGCTCCGTTCTTCCAGGGCCTACTCCTTCCACGTCAGCGCAGATGGTCAGATGCAGCCTGTGCCCTTTCCACCTGACGCCCTGATCGGACCCGGTATTCCCCGTCATGCCCGCCAGATCAACACACTGAACCACGGCGAAGTTGTGTGCGCCGTCACCATTAGCAACCCAACACGTCATGTTTACACTGGTGGCAAAGGCTGTGTCAAAATCTGGGACATAAGCCAGCCTGGCAGCAAAAGTCCTGTGTCCCAACTGGACTGTCTGGTGAGGAAACGGCTTATTCAGCTGCGACTCTTTCTCACACCGTTCTTCAAACGTTTTTTTTTCACAACATGGCTGTTTGGTACACAAGGACACCTGAACAGACACTGATGGTTGGTTAGCAGATGTAAACAGACGTAATGGTTTGGCTCTGATTTTGTAAACACTAATGGGGAGGTGTGATGTTGTGTTTCTACCTGTTTAAACAGATAGAAAAACAAAAGTTTGTACATTAGTATTAGAGTGTAAATTATTAACGGGGTAACAATACTTCATTTTACTGTGTAATTATTCAAATAGTTACAAATAATTTTAAATATTGTAACTGAAACTGGACACCACACAAATCTTACAGAGAATAATTTATTCTTTATTTAATATTATATTAGTAATTATAATATTACTAATAATTATAAACTATATATAATAAATATATTATATAAAATAATTATATAATAATAATAGTTAATATAATTAATAATTAAACTAATAATAATTAATAATATAATTAATATTATTAAATATAATATATTTAATATATTTAATTATAAATATATAGAATTTAAGACTATAGTCTTAAAGAGAAAGCAGTGAGGACAAAATAGTCAAATTACTGCAACACCAAATTCCCTCAGTCGGTACAGGTTTGGAGAATTCCCTTACGCTGGTCTTATTCCGACTGAGAGAGTTTGATCCTCTCTCGGACTTTTCTCCTTCTAAATCTATCTCCAGCTCTACTGCCCTTCACACATATTGATTAGTTCTGCCCTCTGTGCAACAGAACAGGGATAACTACATCCGCTCCTGTAAGCTACTGCCTGATGGTCGCACATTGATCGTCGGAGGCGAGGCCAGCACATTGACCATCTGGGATCTGGCCTCTCAAACACCTCGCATCAAGGCCGAGCTCACCTCCTCAGCCCCGGCATGCTACGCCCTGGCCATCAGCCCTGATGCCAAAGTCTGCTTCTCCTGCTGCAGTGACGGCAACATTGCTGTTTGGGACCTTCATAATCAGACTCTTGTCAGGTTAGAAGAAAAAAAAATGGCTGCGATGCGATGCAATTGAATTATCGCCGTAAAACTAAGTTGTTGGATGTTTGGCCAGGAGACTGTGATAAATGTTGTTTGATGTCGGATTTTCACTGCAGGCAGTTCCAGGGCCATACTGATGGTGCTAGCTGTATCGACATATCCCACGACGGCACTAAGCTGTGGACCGGTGGTCTCGACAACACTGTTCGCTCCTGGGATCTGAGGGAGGGCCGACAGCTGCAGCAGCATGATTTCACCTCACAGGTACAGGATGGAATATATATATATGAGAAAACCAGAGGAGATTAACAACAACAACAACACAATATTTTTTTCTATCTTGAAACCAGAACTCTCAACTATCTTCCCTTGTTTTTAGATCTTCTCCCTGGGCTACTGTCCTACTGGAGAGTGGCTTGCAGTGGGCATGGAGAGCAGCAACGTGGAGGTGCTGCACCATTCAAAGCCTGACAAATATCAGCTCCACCTGCACGAGAGCTGCGTCCTCTCTCTGAAGTTCGCCTACTGTGGTAAAAGATCACACAATATGGCAATTTGATTGGCTATTCGGGTTTTGTATATGATGTCATACATGTACAACAGCTGACATATGGTCACATGGTCATATTTGTCATAGGTAGATGGATGGATGGATAGCACTTTATTAATCCCTCAGGAAATTTAGGAAAGGTCTTTGTGACTCGAGACAAAGGTTTTGTTACGTCCGGCACTAACTTAGATTGAACATATCACCTTTTGCACCAGACTTTAAATCAGTGCCTGGTTAAATGTTTGCCAAGGTACAGTCCAAGGTACAATATATCTAGCTATAATGGAAGAACTATCTCATTTGGAAAGTAAATGTTTTATGCAGATATGATGTTGTTTACTGTATGTGTCCTGCATAACACACAACGCTGCGAAAACACCAGCCAGAAAAGCAAGCAGAGCCGCACTGAGCTGTTTTCTTTACACACAGATGTGTGTTTTTCTGCGTTAAACAACCTGTCAACTCTTCATTTGCAAGGTATTTTATTCACGGCTTCCAAATGTCAAGGAGGTCTCAATGCACTGATGTTGTCTTTGCAGGTAAATGGTTCGTAAGCACTGGGAAGGACAATTTGTTGAATGCTTGGAGGACTCCCTATGGCGCCAGCATATTCCAGGTATGCAGATCAATAATACTCTGTCTGCAGCCTTTCCAAAAGTATGCACACTTGTTTCAGAGAGGAAGGGCACTCCGACCGCTGCCTGACAGGACTCCGCTATCAGTGAAAACCGAACCTGAAATATTGACCTGACGAAGAAGTCTTTTTGAGTGGCACCGTGCCAGCACTTGATGTCACTGCAATCTAATCTGGCGCTGTAGTCAGCTAATCCTCTCCACTTAACTTCAAACGCAGCCCACTGAGTTAACCTTGTTTTGAGACTAAAACCTTTCTTCCTTCCCCTTTTCCCCCTCGAACAGTCTAAAGAGTCTTCGTCTGTCCTGAGCTGCGACATCTCGACGGACGACAAGTACATTGTGACGGGCTCTGGTGACAAGAAGGCCACTGTGTATGAAGTGATCTACTAAAGCAGACGGCTTCGGACGAAAGCATGTCACGTTGAGGAACGTCGGACTTGGACTTCATCTACCTTCCCTCGCAAAGACAGCATGGATGTTGCCTGCAGCCCCCCGCCCCGGGTGGATGGGCAGGAAGTTTGGCGGTGCCAGACTGAACTGGACCTTAGTGCTGACCCTGGATGCTGTGTTCTCCAGCTCTGTCCCTCCTCACTCATACAGCTAACACTTGAACAGCGAGTGCAGTTCCCTAAGGCACTACGAAGAAAATAATGTCGTGTTGTTCTCTGTTTGTTGGATATTTCTTCTTTTTTTTTTTTCTTCTTTTTTTTTTTTCCTTCGTCCTTTTTAATGTGGAGATAAAGTTCCATGACACAACTGGAAGCGGCGCTTCATTTGGAGCTTTTCCTTGGAGGTCCTGTGAAAAGTGTACATAATGGAGTAATAAAAGGCCTTTTATAGATTTATATTTTGGTGTCCAGTTACACTTGTGATGGTTCTTTCTCGTTCTCTCCGTGATTTTGCTGTCCCCTCTGGGGATGGAAATTAGATTAGGACTTTGTAAGAGGATATCTATTGCAGTTTTTTCCCCCCACTCTGCTTTCTTCATGTTCGATGTCCAGAATGACCTTTTCGGAAATCTAATTTGGATTTTTTTTTTCCTCTCCCTGACAAGAGCTTTTTTTTCTTCACTATTTGCCGTAACCCAGACCTTTGTCCAACGGATTTCAGCAAAGGATTCTGGAAAAGTCCTCCTCCTCAGACTGGGACGTGGAGAAAATCGGGTTGTCATTTCTTCTGACCCTCTGGCTTTTCTAAGCAGAAATCCAACTTTGACATGTTCCTGAACAATGGTCACTCTGTAACGATATTGTGCATATTAACAAACTGGTGGACGTTTTCCTGTGAGACACACCCCGTCACACCAGTCCAGTCAGATCGCCCAACAAGTGTATGAAGCGTCCTTTGTCCTCCTCCTCTCAGCGGAGTTTCTTATCACTCTATCAGAGTTAATAACGACCTCTCTTTTCACCCCTTCTAATGTGCAAGTGACTTGGTTATTGCTCACGACAGTGGCCGACCGAACCGGTGCCACCTTCGACATTTTGCGTATGCCGTTTGCTTTCTTCGGTATGTCACAATATTCCATACGAAAGACTAGAGTCTCAGCATTGACATCCATCAGACTGTGTAGCAAACACGTCATCATCCCTAAGGAATGTACAGTTGACAGTTGTTGACAAATCAATAAACTGTTTTTATAGAAAAACCCTCTGTTCAGGCGTGGCTATTGTTAATATATTTGGGTTTTGTTTTTTTTTTACATTTTTGTGGGATATATTTTTTCATTTTGTCAGGCAATAAACACTGTAAGTACGTAGTGTAGGGCAGCTCAGGGACTGGCCCACCAAAACTGCTGTATGTTGAAGAGATGATAATAATTAGTAGTAGTAAAAGAAACGTGCAAATACAGTCAAAATTGTCTAGGAGAAATTCATGGCTTTCTTAGCTTGCTTTGGGTTTGTGAAATCTCGTTATAGTTTCTTTTAGTATCACCAGCCTGGTTTACTTGACTTTAATTTGAGGAACATTAACAGACCTGAAAGATCGGTCCTTTTATCACTGACTTTACTCTAATGGCCGTTTGGACAAATGTTGTAAAGTTTGTAAAGCTTAAAGAGTTGTGTTGTCCGTGAACCTGAACTCATCGTATTGGACTAAAATGTTACGCAACAGGTCTTTTGGCTCGAGACCAGAAGAGGAACAATATAGGTCAGACATTTATTCAGTACAAAACCACCTTTTGTTATTATTAATAATTTTTATTCCTATTTTTGCACCTATTTCCAGCTTATTGCAGGTTTACAATGACAAAACCGTCTGACAAATAATGGCTTTAAACCGGCGTGTCTTTTATTAGTTCTGCTGTATATCACACTTTAAATCCCTGTGTGAAATAATAACGACTTTGTTAGTAGGGTTATGCTTTAAAATGTGTTTTTAATTTGTATTTAATCACTGACAAAACCCAGGTAAATCCCTTACACTGGAAGGAAAAGGCTACATTTCCTAGTCCTCTGTAAAACACGGCAGCAGTTTACTCTTGGTTTTTGGTACTGGCTCCACACACCGAGATTCAAACCGTCCAATCGCAGCAGGTAGTAAACGGTTCCGAATTGATGAATAAAAAGCAGGCCGATGTGGGTAAATGTCTCTGAGGCGTTCACTGACGTTGGCCGAACATCTGGCTCTGGGCTTTGTTGGGGATGTGGTTTGAGACATGTGTCAGTTACTTTCAATTTTGTTTTGTTTTTTTAAAGAGTGTTTATTGGTACACTGGAAGCTAATCTGGTTCAGCTTCAGCTACAGTGTTGATGGCAAACAGCAAACTGATGGTGGTGAAATAAGGCAGAAAGTTCATTCGAACGCACTCAAGAAATATGACGCACACCCTGCTTTTGAGTTCTCTCGAGAGGTCTTGTGGTGGTTAATTGCTTTTAGGCGTTTTGGGCTCAAGTGAAAGGCCCGCTCCTTCCACTACACAGGAAAAGAACCTCCTCTAGGATTGCCAGTGTGGGGCTGCGAGTCCTTCATGTGGCTGCCTCTTCAGAGTTGTTGTTGTTGGAATATAAAAGCCGAGCTGGATGCTTTCAGCATGGAGCCAGCCGTCATGTTCTGCTCTCACGGGCTCATTTGTTAAAGGTTATAGTCTTTCTTTTCCCACATCGCTGAAGTGTGTACTTCCTGTGTGCATTTGGAGTCTAAGCTCCTTGTTCAAGTAGAATTCTCTTCCTCACTTAATCAAACAGTGGAATATCTGCAGATGAAAGGTTGCACCTCTGAGTGCCTATTGCCGGACACCGAGGGGGTCATTGTCTCGCCTTTCCCCCGATCTACCTCTCAATGGAGGGCTTTCAGCAGGTTCTCATGCATAAGCCCGTGCTGCCATGTACTATTTAGAGGAGGGCTGCAGTGCAGGCTTCAAAAACCAGAGTGGCCCAAGTGTTTCATTTCAGCTCCAAGCACAAGAGCGCAGTCCAATTCTCTACATCTGTGCTAATTGTCGGAGCCAAGAATCTAGTGAAATTCAAAGAGGGTCTGTATTGCCAATATGTGGGCTTTGCACATGCTAAGCTCTGTTTGAATGTTGTTTTTGTTTTTGGTTCTAGCTGCCAGCCATTGATCACAGTCCACTATAAATCTGGCTTCTTATTATAGCCGCTTTTCTGCCCTCCCCCATGGATCACACTGTGAATCAGGGCTTTTTTTTTTTTTTCCGACAGTGAGGAACTGGCACCATGCTGAAATGCAGAATAATAATCCCCTAATCACCTGAGCATTGCCAGTCCTGGGTTTTTATCTCCAATGGATGTGAAAGCCCCCAATGCCTAGTGATTACAGCATTTGATCTGGGTAATAATGTCTTCACTGTTGCCCTGCCCAGGGCCTGAAGGCTGTGCTGCTCTAATCCACAGTGCATTCTAGTGGAATCGCATTACACAAAGACCACCAGGGTTCTCCTCGTGAGGGGAGGGGTGATGGTGGGGGGTTAAAGGAAGAGGTTACCATGGAAACAGCTCTCTCTCTCTCTCTCTCTTTCTTAGCATCCTTTCCTCACCCACGCCCTCACCCTCACCCTCTTCTTCGCTCTCTGTCTCACACACAAACACTCACTCTCTCCTCTCCTGGGATAGATAAGCACAGACAGGTTCCATGTTTACTTTCCGTGGGCGCTCCAATCCCTGAGCAGGCTGAGCTCTGATAACAGCAGGCCTGTGCTGCCACCGACCACTGACAGCAGATAAGTACCCCAGCAGAGCAGAGCAGTCATCACCCTCTATCCAGATTGAACAAACCGAGGAGACCCGGATTCATTTGGATTAGACTGGATTGCCGCTGCCGCTGCCGTGCTAAGCTTGATGCTGCACTTTAACATGTGTAGACTTAGTCAGAGTGTGCAGCCACAGTAATGGACTGAGTGTTATTTCAGATATTGGGGTCAAGGAAGTGTCCGTGCTGGGCAGGTTTCGACAAAAGTGAAGGAAATGAACTGTTTTGGATCCACACTATTTTTCCGGAATGTTTTTTCATACGCTCTAAGTATCGACTAATATGCCCATAATTCATTAGCCAGAGAGAGCAATTACATTTGTGTGATACTAATGCTGCAAGAAGAAAACAACGCACTCTTTGATGCTGAGATCAAGACAACCACTATAGTGGGGTTTTTTTTTTTGTTGTTGTTTTGTTTTTTTCCATCTGAGTTACGCTCACAGACTAATTATATTCCCACACATTCTTTGATTGAGGAGCAGCTGGAGGTGTGAGACTAATTGCAGAGATGGCGATGTTGACGTACACTGGTGGGATTTCCCCTCGGCTCTTCATCTGCCGGTGAGTTCTTGTAAGAGGTTGATGAATGTTTTGTAGCTAATTAAAAGCATGGTCACCTTCAGTACAGACAGAGTGGAGGAAAGGCTTCTGTCCACCTTATATCAACAACATCCCCTGTGTTGTTGTCGTTGTTGCAGCTGCTCCTGTATAGTTTTTTATCATAATGTTGATTTTATGTTTGAATTTTCACGTCATTCAGGATTAGGTCTAAAAGTTTAAAGACATTAAATAATAATATGTGTTTTCTCTATTCTCTTCAGATTATCCACTTAAATCCAAGCACTTCTATCAGAGCAGGGATCCCAAACCCCAAACCTCTGGCCCACAGACCGCTTTTGACCCATTAACCACCAGCCTACAACTAACTGTGAGTAATAATGTAATCTGAGCCTTACTGTTATTTTTTGACCCTGCAAAGAGATGGCGAGGCCAACTCTGACCCCCAGCTCAGTTTTGTTTTACACCCTCTCCCTTTTTTTTTTTATAACCTTTTGATTTGTGGTGTTTAGACCTAGGATAAAGTGTGTGTCTCAGAGACTGTAAACAAGTAAAAGTTCACGGTATGACTAACTGAAAGCAAACCATAACCACCGAACTGACACTGAATCATTCGAAAAGCCACTCCGATGAAGTGCAATATATCAACACAACCAGCTTTCTGACAATAAAAAAAAAGTTTTTTTATTAAAACAGTCCCAGTAGAAATGAGTTAAAGATGCTGGTTGTTTTGAGATTAATCAGAAAAGCAATGAAAACAGATCTTTGTTTTATTCTACAGTTGGGGAGACGAAAGAGAGTTCTTCCAGATGGACCATGGGATATGTTGTTCTTCAGTCCACATGTCTTTGTCAGGCAAGTATTTATTTGCTAAGTGGGACCAGCCTAAAGGGAAGCCCACTTTGTCTTTAGTAGACGAGACGTCCGGACCCTCAACTGCACACGGGGAAAACAGCAGTGAATGAGGGACCAGGGTGTGGAAGCGGCGGAAGCATTCATCAGCTTCACAGTGGAGGCACAGTTACACTGCTGCATGTAGTTTACCACATCACAGACGCTGGCAGGAAGGAAATGTAAAGTCAGACACAAAGTCAGACACAAAGCCAGTCTGCACTTGTTACAGTGAGTGATGACAGATTAACAGGTGGGAAGGTGTCGTTTTTAAAATAGAACCTGCTTTAGGGCCTTTGTGTATTTATCAGGAAAGGGTCTGGGTTTGAACACTAAACACTGACTAAAGTCAGCCACTACTGTTTCTAACCTGAGCAGATTGAGATTCAGTTTGATGGTTTCTACCATGTTTTTGAAAGCATGTAGCCCAGTGTTGAGGTTCACGTACAGACATACGCAGCGGAAGTTAGAGCTCAGCTGCAGGAGGGAGAGCAGTGGAGTGGTGACGCAGGTGAGCCCAATTAGAGCAAGCCTCTCCTTATTTTAGTAGGAGCAGTGTACTGAGGGAGCTAAAGGAGAACGGCGATGTAGAGAGGATTAGTCAGACCTCAGACGGACGATAACAGTGATCTTACACAGTTTTCATTCTATTCATTTCAAGGATGCAGAGGAAGCTGGAGCTGGGCCCTGCAGTCTTCAGGCCAAGGCAGGTTACACCCTGGACAAGGTCAGTTGGTGAGGAGACCTTGTAGACCTGTAGCAACACACACACACACACATATATATATAATTTAAAAAAAACAACAACTCAAAATGCTCTAATTTGATTAGAAACATCAAGACAAGATAACATTTTTTTTTAAAAAATTCCAAACATTTTAATCATTTTTGTTCACCTTCTGCCCAACATGACATGCAAAATTAAGATTGTGAGGAAAAATTCCCTAACAAAAATCTTCTAAATAATTTATCGAAATGTGCTAATTTGATGAGAAACATGCACAAAATTTTTGAAATCAACCCAAAATATTTAAAAAATATATTTTTCAAAAAGAAAAATTCAAAATGCTCTAATTTGATGAAAAACACAAAAATCATATAATTTTAAAATTATTTTTTCAAAGCTTTTCATGACATTTTTCAAGTTTTGACCAACATGACATGTGGAATTAGGATTTGACAAAAAAAATTACAAAAAATACGATTTTTAAAATTATTTTCAAAATGCTCTAATTTGATGAGAAACACAAAAATCATATAATTTTAAAATTATTTTTTCAAATATTTTAATGAATATTTTTCAATATCTGACAAACATAACATGCAAACTTAGGATTTTTCCTAAAACCTATAACAACCAAAATACTAAAAAAAAATTCAGAATGCTGTGTCCCTTGCACCCACTGTATTCCAAACTGACTATGTTACCATGACGCATGGGCCACTGCTTTAAAAACACTCTGAGAGTCTATTGAGCAAAGAAAAAGCTATTCATCAAATTTGACCAGAAAAATGTCTGCAGGTTTTAGGTCGCCTGAGGTTGACGGAAAGGTGATGGAAATATATGTCAGGGTCTGAAAAGAAGTCGATTGAGAGAGGTATGTAAATTCTTTGTCACCAAAGAGCTCCATTTTGCTGGGTTTTTTTTTTTTTGTTTGCTTTAATGTCAGCTTAAATTATACCAGGTGTTTATCAGCACTTCAGAGGTTTTTATCTTTATTTTTGGCACAGAGTGTTTATACTTTAAAAACAGTAGATTTTGACAAGGGACTAATAATGCTTATTTAATGAAATTGCAAGTCAAACTGTATTTACTCGTCCCCGTCTCTGGTCCCTGGTGATTTTTCTGCCTCAGATAAAACACTTTATTTCTATTTCTGTTTGGTTCATTGAAGCATCTGTCATTCCTAGTGCTCCCACTGTGCCTGACAAAGGCAGAGCCATGTTAGATTGAAAAGACAGAGGGGCAATCTTTCAAATGGATCTCTTTTCGAAAATATATTATGACATAATCATGTTTTCTCCCTAAAAGCTCTAGGGAGGCCTGTCTGTCAAACTGCAGTCCTCTCTTGGCTGCCTGGCCTGAACAGAAACAGCACTAGTGTGTTAATAGAACCCAGAGGCACTCTGAAACCTTACCCATTCTGCTTTATGCTCTCAGCCTGGAGATTAAAGTCAGGGAAACATTACAGGAGGCTGGATAATTGCCCCTGTGTCTCCAGCAGACAAAAGGCAATGCTCTGGCAATTCCCTCGGTAAACTGTCAAGAGAGGCTCAAGGATCCTTCAAGGCTGAAGCAAATTGTACAGTGCTGTCTAACCAACTACTAATCTCTGGATATTATGCGTCGTCCATATATCCTTGGCTGTAATGACAGCCTGCACTGCTTTAATGGTGTACGACACAAGATGTCTTTTGTAAATATTCTTTCAATAGAAAAATTACTACCGTGGTTCTCAGTCTTCAGTTTGGTTTTTTTTCTCTTTTGTTCCCATTTGTTTTTTTGTTTTTTGTTTTTTTTTTGATTGATGTCACTGTCGTCTTCATTTTCTGTTAGCTCTGAGCGCAGGCTGCTGCCACTAACAGATGATTGCAACCTTTACTCCTGAGGGCCACTTGATCCTGACAGAAAAAAAAAAAAAATCTGCAAGCAGTTAATGAGTTGCCCTCCATGTCTAGTGTTAAGGGTGTCTACAAATTAACAGAGGCTTTGCCAGAGCTCTCTCCCTCTTTTCTGCTCCTGCCACCAATACCCTCCACCCCCTACCCACACCAACCCCTCCACCAATCACATGCTGTCTCTCCTGCCCTTCCATTTTCTCCCCGTACCTGCCTGCTTCACACTCCAGCAGCCCCGTGGCGGGAGCAGAGCTGTCTGGCTCCGGCTCTGAGCAGCACTCATTGTCTGCGCAGTTCATGTTTAGAATTAGCCGTTTAATGAGAACAAAAGAAATTAATTGGTGGTTCGAGCCTAATGAGACGTCCGTGAAATTAACAGGCCCCATCGATAGAAACAAATAAAATCCTTCAGCGTGCTGTTGCGGAGCATTATTCTGACAAAGCTTTTGACACAATGATGAATAGCAGGTCAGGGGAGACCATCTGTGCTTTTTTAAACCCCTGCAGGAGGGGGGATGGAATGTGGGCTGCCTCCAAGAGAAGAGATGGTGATAAAAAAGGGAGGGAATGTGGGCTGCCTCCAAGAGAAGAGGTGGTGATAAAAAAGGGAGAGGGACAGGGGGAGGGACATGAGTACAGGAGGAATAAGCAAAAAAAGAAGAAAAAAAAGAAAAAAAATCTCTGCTTTATTCATCCTCCTTTGCATGATACCGCTGTCTAACCATGGATACAAAGGAAATAAAAAAACAGCGGCATTAGCATGTGAAAGGCGGTGGGGTCTCTGCCGATGTGTCCAGAAAGCAAAAGAGGTCTGATTTCGAGGGATATTTAACCTCCATTCAGTCGGCAACAAAGGCCTGGCTGTCGCACTGAGAGCTGTGGTTCAGGCTGATTGGGGCTGGCGGGGGGGAGAGAGGCGGAGGAACAGGCAGGATCACAGACCTCATTTGTTCCCCTCTTTCCTTGAGCCTGTCTCTCTCTATTCCCACTGAAGAGCAGCATTTCCTCTTTCACACACAGCCGCCTCCCCCTCTCAGAGCTGTAAATGTATGACCTGCGGTATAAATTGGAAAGGAAGGAGGTGAGGAGGCGGCGAGGAGAGGAGAGGAGCGATACATCTCTATCGCGTTGGTCGACCTTTATTTACCAATGCTCTGAGCAACGGCGTTGTCTGCATCCGCCTCGCCTCACCTCGCCTCGCCTCCTCCACCCCTGATGGCCTGATGTGGAAGTTGCAGACGTGCTGGAGCTGATGTCCCGCGTGTATTCAGCCCCCTGCTGGGCTCAGCCCTTTCCTTACTCTCTGGCCACCCAGCAGGGCCATCCCACGCCGGCATGTTTGTGTATCATGGAGGAACTGTTTGCTTTCCTGTGCTGATCAAATAAACACATCATGTCTTTAGGGGGCAGCAGGTTGGAGAAGTGGTGTCTGTGTGTTGTTAAGCTCTCTGGCTGTAGATAAGGAATTGTTTGATGGGGGAAGAGAGAAATGAGAGCGGTTTAGGTCAGCTAATCTGATTTACACAGAGGTCTGGCCGTTGCAGGGAGTGGTAATTACATAGAGGGATTAGAAGCCCCCCAGAGCTCCGTACCTGCAGAGAGGAGAGAGGGCTGAAGGCTGGAAAGGCCTGAGAACGGCATGTGCACAACAACAACAACAACAACAACAATAATAATAGCTTGAGCAATTCAGGCTGCAGACGAAAATAGCTGAGATTGGCCTCGACACAATAATGTCTGTTTGTTTACATGCATTTCCATCTGTTGAATTTTGTTTCATCCGTTTGTTGTTTTTTGTTTTGTTTTTTTTACTCTGCCCTAACGTATTGCCTTTCAAGAAACAAAAGTAAAATCCCAGCCACCCACATGGACCAACGTAGGATTACTTGGGATTAAAGGGTACAAAGTAGAAATAGGATCAACTAGAAACTGGCTCTTTGGAGAATAGGATCCACATTGAAATTGCAGTTTAATCTGTATGGGTCCCACATCTCAGACTCTGAGGGGGTCGGGAGGGGGTCGTTCCTGTGGTAGCACCTTTAGCTCTGGCAAGGATGCACAGCATTTGGATCTACTATCACTACATTGCGTAGTAATTGTAGTACTATCTGCATGTCTCTTTGCACGCAAAGTACAAAAAGTGACAAATGGACTGTACTTTTACAGCCCAGTACTATTGGTACTAGAGTAATTCAGGGTCTCAGTGTGTGTTCCCTGTGCCCACTGTTTTGTGCTGCAGCTCTTCTGTATTTTAATGGGCGCTCTCAGGGATACATCATTCCCAGGCTGATCACGATGAGACTTGACATTCCGCTCACATTAAGCTATTTTCACAGATTTCTGCCAGGTACATAGAGCTACCTCATTGCCATTTGTCCATGCATTTAAAATGCACAGCTGAATAATTGCTCTGCCAGAGCCATCACTTCATCCACAGGAATAACTTGCACGCTTGGTTGCCGTTTCTAAAGTGTGCTCGGCTAATCCACTCGTTGCTTTGTGCATTCAGTGCTCTGAACCATGAGGCACCCGCTTGGATGCCCGTGCATAAATTACTGCCACGGAACATAAAGTGCTGGGAGGATTTTCCTTAACGATTGCCAACGCTTTAAACGCTTCTGCTTCAACAGTCGATATTGCTCAGCCCATTCAATTATTCAGCGGCCCGTCCCTCATTAACAAAATCCTGACCTTGACATGTCTGCCCTATTTCTCTCCCTTGACAGACTGTGCTCTCCCAACGACTCTGTTTGCTCTGATATTGGCCGGGAAATCCATGCATATTGATAAGTTGTTTGCAGTGTAATTGAAAATGTCAGTTATGAGGCCCGCGCAGACAGAGGTCAGCCCCAAGAATAAAAGCTGACAGGCTGCTATATATGGAGCTTATATAGCGGTGAAATAATGTAGGAGAATAAATTCAGATTTGCAGTATTATAGACTGATAGGAATCAATTTAAGGTGCTTTAGAAATGAGTAATTGCGCGACTCCACATTAATTTTATTACAGTGTTATAGATTGGTTCGTGGCCACTTGATTAAAATTCTAAGCTCTTTCCAAAGGTCAAATTGTTCCTCATTCATATCTCATGGTCTGGGTAAACAACTACGGGTCAAATATTCAATAGGACTTATGAATATGCTCATCAAATCGGAGAGCTGTAATCTCTGGAGGAGGAGGAGGAGGAGGAGCAGGTGTCCTCTGGGTGTTGTCGCCTCTCAGTCGAGTGTTAAACAGCATTAGGGATGTGATTTGTCCATCGTAAGATGCTTAATCCAGAATCCCTCGGCGCATCCCGCTCACAATCTCATTGTCTTAATCTGACACACAGGAGCGGGCTGTGAGGTTAAAGCGCTGGGTGCTATTTCTTTAACATAAACAAAGACGGAAACCTCTGTTCACAGGGGCCCGTGCTGCTCGACAAGCCCCCACCTGGCAGATCCCATATCCCCTCAGGCGGAGTTGTGGTGACTGCCTGCTGGTTCTTTAATCGATTGCTAATGGGTTCAATTCCATCGTTGAGGAGCTGCTTGGAACCTGGCCCTGAGACTGAATGAAGTGGAAATACCATTTGCAGCTTTATGAGCCGTTATACTGCAGTGAGAGACCTCTATTTTGCATGCTCCATAGCGCTGCGGAGAGAGTTTCGCACCGCCACTTGATGGTTTTTCTAGTGCCGGCTTCTACTGCTTTCGTCTCAGTGCTTTCCATTTATTCTGTGCTGTGAAGAATCTGCATCTATTCAGTCCGGGACAAAATAGCTTTGCTGCATTTCCACGAGCCTTGGTCTGCAGGGTAATCTCCCCTGTACACATGAGAGCTCAACAGATTAATTCTATCTCTAAGCAGTGATAGCATTCATTAGTTTTATCGGGAGCATGCACCTTTAACTCTGTGGGATCATTGTGTCTAATTACTTACAGTAACAAGCTGCAGCTTGTTGCAAATAGGATATATATTTGGGGGAAATGTTTGAAGTCGAGGTTTGAAGTTTTGTGTTTGTTAAGGACAGCTTGAGGTTGTTCCTTATATTTTTTTGCTCTCTCTGGTTTACACATCTGCCCAAATATCTGCAGTGCTCTTATGAGCTTGCTCTGGCTGAAATGCATTGCTAAGCAGGCAGCACTGCTCTACATTTCACAGCCAGTCCCAGCAGACATGTGCTCTTTGAAGCATTTCTGGGCCAGGGATACAAGTCTTGTTTGTTCAGTACTTCTAGTGGGGAGACAGAGAGAGAGAGAGAGAGAAAGAGAAAGAGAGAGGGAAAAGCAGAGAAAAATGTAAGTTATTTTTTTTTCTTTCACTTGGGCAGAGAATAACATTCTTTGACGTCTCAACAGAAGCCTTGTACTACAGCGCCTGCTGCCAGATGCCTTGATAGAATCACCCGTGTCAAACAGGAAGAGAAATAAATGCTTCATTGAACTACAGCTTAGCTTTGTGATGCTGGGAGGGTGGAATAATGTGGGAGAGAAAGGAGGGGTGAGGAGGCCGCTGTCTACGTGTACGTGGGTGTCAGTTCACCACAGTAGGCTTGTTCTCATTTAAAACTAATGCGTGGTGTCAAAATAAATGCGGCTGACCACATTATTCTCATCATGGACTTGTGTTCTTCCGGAGAATTCCGGGGGGGGAAAAAAAGCAGTGACTGTGGAACCATCATGGACTTGTGTTCTTCCGGAGAAGAGGGGGGTTTAAAAAGCAGTGACTGTGGAATCCAGCAGTTTTTGGTCGGCAGTACACAGCAGCGTGTTTGTGTTCCTTCTTTCTGGCTCATCTTCCAGCGCCAAGTAGAGTATGACGGGATTTACATGCACTCTCGTAATCTCTGTAAGAGAACCTGTTTCAGGATGTAATTCACATGGTATGTCTTTTGATTCGGATTAGTGCTGGCAATCCTCTTACCCGTGGCTCAGTATAACTTATCACTGAGAAGGCCGTCTCGTGGAGCGGCGCAAATCCTCATATCCACCCCTCCCAGACTTTCAACTCTTAATTCTAATCTGTTCAAATCTGATCTGAGACTTTAACTTCCACAAACCCCCTTGAAAGCTGTAGCTCAAGATGAAGTTCATGCAAGGGCTTTGGATTACACAAATTGAAGTCAGGGATTTCCAATGTTTGAGAACAGAGCAGGGCGTCATGTGGGCCGTGATTGTGAATCGTGTGCTTTTCATCATGCTCTAAATAAATGGATCACAAACAAACATGTCATGTGCAAAGCCCTTTGATAATTGAAATGGTCCTGATACAGGTATAAATGATTGTTTTCTGCATTGCAGTATATCATGTTTATGTCCTGTCTGTCAAATGCAGTTTCAGGTATTTTGGAGTAAGCAAAGAATATGAGCAGCAGATTTTCTTTACTTCATGGTATCGTTTTATGTACTGTGTTTAAAAAAAAAAAGTAAAGTGTGAAAGTGGCACTATCCTTATCCTCAAAGTAATTCAATAATCAGGAGTTGAAGTAACACAGGGCTTCACCTTCTCCCAGGCTCTTACTAAATGCAGAAAGATTATTTCCTAATCTCCACAAGTACATGTTGGGCGAAGTAAAGCGGCGTTATTTCTGAAATAGTATTCCTTAAAGCCCTCGCCCCTTCTGTAATTCCTCACTCCTCCGACTTAAGAAAAAGAGTTTCTGTGAAAAGGCTGCCGTGTGTTTGAAAGCAGAAAAATCAATGGTCTAATTGAGAATTACGACCGCATTATCGTAGCTCAGCTCCATGTGAACAGCACCTTCAGCCTGTCGGCAACTTTGTTTACCATTGACATTATTTGGAGGTCACGTTGCCTGCTTTGAAACAGTGTGAAGATGAGGCTAAGCCAAATCTCTAAATCCTGGACTCAGCTGTCTTATCTGCTGTTTCTGGGCCATGTGGCCTGAATTAATGCAGGCGACCCGCTGTCTGAGCTGGAGCAACAATCGCATTAAGATGTCCCTGCATCTCAACCAGGCTTGTTTGTTGTCACTTTTGGATTAAATTTGTACGAGCTGTGGTTTCATCTCCATGAAGGCACGACTTGGTTTTATTCTTTAGACCGCTGTATTAATACACAGAATAATAATCCAGCCTTTAATCTGGTAGATGATGTGCTCTTTTAGCCTCTTTCTCATCTACAAAAACAAAAAAAACAGTTTCACCAACTCAGTGTGGTTAGTAGCAGGTGGGTGACAATGTCTTTGCATGTGGTTAGTAGCAGGTGGGTGACAATGGCTTTGCATATATATTTGTATATGTGTATGTGTATATATGATCTCTTACTCAATAACGGCTCCTTCAAACATTATATTACAATAATATATGTATGTCTAATTCTATTCTTTTTAAACAATTGAATGTATTAAGATTTGATTATGGACTCCACTGCAGCATCTTCTTCCCATTCAAACAATAGACCCATTCATCTCATAAACACAATATAACAATAACTCGATTTATTGGATTTATTGGACATCCTGCAGAGACATATGCACGCAAATAGATCCAAACAAACTGCATGACTGTTAGCCATGTCTCTGCTGTGGTTTTAAGAGGACGCTGATAATGTAATCTGGGTTCAGTTCAATTCTGTCCAGTGCTTATTACTTATTCTGTTGTCGTCCTTTCTAATCAGATGCCTCGTCAAGTGATGAATTAGTAGGTTGTAATTCAATTTTAGCTGTAGTAATTACGATTGCTCTTGTTATTGTATACTGTTTCAAAAGGTTTTCATTTAGAATGATAAGAATAATAGTTTTGACTGGATGAGGTTGTGGGTACAAATCCAACTTTGTACCAATCACTTCTAAATATCTATCTAAATATCACTTATCTAAATGTAAAGAGCCATAAAGCCCATCAGTAATCTGTAGAGATTTGTTTCTACATGGGGATGTAGAAACAATCTACAAACAGCTGATTTTCCCACCTTTTTGTGACCATGGAATTTTGTATAACTGAACACATTAACGAGGCTGTGATTAGCATTTTACTTAGCAAAGACCAAGAAGCTAATTGTTTATGCTAGTATATCATACAGACATCCTTCGTTGCCAATCCCACAGCGATGGCACACCAATATGTAGGGTTGAACCTGATCACATGTCGACTGGTTTAGCCTCGGACTCAAACCTAAACATCTGGTTCAATATCACACCATAGCCAATGTTCCACAATATGGAGTGTCAAGCCATAAAGTCATGGTGTCTGATTGGACTGACATCGCTGACAAGTTATTGCATGACATGCAATTACTGTCCTTAACACCAACACCCCCCAAAAAACAGACACACAAATGTGTGTGCAACACATCTGTGCCTCCAGTGAGTCCCAGCCTGTTTACTCAGGTGCCTGATCGCATGGTGCAATGATGAACTCCTGTGCAGACTTTTACACTCTGCTGCCTCTCAGCCAAATGCCAAAACAAATCTTGTCATAATTAGCAGTAATCCTGCTCATTACCGTCTGCTTAATTATCCTATTAATAGCACTTCCTGGGAGAGCTTGTTTGCTACGCAGGCAAATGTTTGTTCCTAAATTAGCAGACAAGAAGACAGCTCCATTGTTCAAACAGGAGCTTTGTCAAAGCAGAACAGGCAGGATTAACAGCAGACAGAACGGGCCACAAGCTCATCTCTGCTTGGCACTGACAGGCAGGGAGGAGTCAGCCTGGGCCAACAACAGCACTCTTATCCTGCAAGCTGCTGCTGTGTGATCTACATAGTCAAGTATACACAATCAGCACTGGCAACATGTAAAGTCAGAGCAACAGTGCACTGTGAGATAAGCAGAGCGGCTACAGGTCCACGTGGAGTCACGGTGACCGTGCATTTAAATCTTGTTGAAATAGTATGGATACAATTATACAAAACATATCCTGTCATTGACCATAGAGAGTATTTTCACTTTCCATTTTCACTTTATTTGCTTGAATTTTTCTTTTTTTTCCCCAGTGATGTCACTTGCAGTGGAAAAATGACCCAGTAGGTGACAGTAATACAAGTATGTATATATTTATATACACATATATATCTGTTTCTGTATCACAACGTTTGTAATAAAATATATATGTATTTAGATACACATGTATCTAAATACATATCTGTATATACACATATTTATATAATAATTATATAAAAATATACATGTCTGCTGTTCATACAGCCTAGTTCTTTGTTGACATCTTCTGCATTAAGGATGTGACCTCCATCTTGTCCACAGGTTTACAGATGTTTCCTGGAGCTTCTCCTGGGCCAGAGCCTGGAGCAACTCTTACTGGATCTGCCCGGCCTCCTGCAAATATAACAGATGTAAGTCTAAACAAATGAGAAGAAAGTTTTTGCCGACTGAACAATACTTTTGGTCCATTTTAGTACTTTTCCAGTTAAATAACTTCTGGCTAACAATCAGGTATTTCTGTTCTGCTAACTGTTCATGAACTGTGTGGCAAGCTCTGAACTTTCATCACCACATTATTTGGCAAAATTTAGCCAAAATTCTGCAGAACATTTTAGCACTAATGCTCAGCTAGTTTAAGCCTATTATTAAAACAATAATAATAAAAATCATCTTTGTCATTGTTTTTGCTACCTTTTTTTCTCCAATATATTTTGGACCATTATTTTGGCAAAACTCAATATACTTTTCATAGGCTTGCCTTAATTTATTTTGTAGCTAATTAAGAATATTAACTCATTTTAGGCTGAATTTATGAATTTTTTTTTGTTTTATATTTCTTTTCATGATAATAGGACTATATTCTTGTTTGTTTTTAGACTTTTTGGACTTTTAAACA